GGGCCAATCAAATTTTCTTTTTTGTGTGATATGATCGACGAAAATCATTACCAATTATACGAATGTCCACCATGCTCGGGAAATGTCCTGTGACTGATAAATATTATCCCTTAAACTGTTCACATTTTCGATTAAGGGTATTTCGAAAAATTTGTTGACATAGTACAAAATTCCACCAATCAAAATTAACCAAATTACACAATAAAAAATTTATTAAAATAAAAATAATTAATATTAATATTAACGAATACAGGAATATATCAAAGTTCATGAAAATCTGTATAACAGTTTCGTTCCTCATTAAGACATAAAGGAACTTCGCATACTTTACACCAAACTTGAGTTTTGAATTCAGTTTTTGCAGATTTTCCCTCATCCATGAACCTTATATATCTGCATAAGTAACAAGCACTTCGAGGTCCTCTTTTAGGAAGGTGTTGTCCAGGTTTATTTCTTACATCTGGTAATGTACTATCACTTTTTATTCTTGTAAAACTACTTTTAGAAGGTATATTTTCGTCATTATTATTTTTACCCTCACTCCACCCTGATGTAACTAGATTCCAAGCTAAATTCAATCTAAATTCTTTATGACTCAACTTTCCATTGCATTTATTATATATTAGAAAAGAATTGACAATGGCTGTGTCTAATAACCAAAAAAAGATTGGGACCCAAGTTCGCCTAGCTGTTATTTGGGTGTTGTAATAATGACGATATTGATCAGCTACGTCTACACCTCCCATAAAATGGTTATAATCATCTATTACTGCTGGAATTGATAAGTATTTTTCTATTTCATCTCCAAAAACTTCTCTAACTTTATTTGCATTCATACTTGTATGTCTAGGACGTTTACGTTTGGCTACTTTTCTACTTTCTGGTCCAGTAATTTCATGAATTGTTGACAGCATTGTTACTGGACCATTATCCATCCAAAAGATACTCAGAACATTATCTACAACAACACCACTTAGAATATCCCAATCTAATTGTTTTCTTTCAACTTTCAATTCTTTTGGAAATTTAGAAGAACTTGTTCGTACAGTACCACAAGCTCCAATTTTTTTTTGACGCAAAAAATTAAATAGATTTATACTACTGAAATAATTATCCATGTAAATATTAAAGGACATATTATCTGGTAAGCATTTAATTAAATGATATACTTCACATCCAATTTTACTTAGACCAGTTATTTTTTCAAGCGGAATTTCTTTTATTCTTGAGACAAACATAAAAGAATAAGTATATCCACTATTATCACATAAAGCAAGGATTTTATAACCTTCAGGCGTAGGTTTGTTTTTAATTCTATAAGTATGAGGGCTTCTTCCTGAAAATCTAACCATCATTTCATCTACAGATAAATTCGAAGAAGGAGTATAGAGTTCTTTACATTTATTTAGTATATGTGATGCAAGGGGATCTACTTTATAATACCATAAATCTTGCTGGATGACTTCTAAAGGATCGGAAATGTGGAAAAATCTTTTAATCTGTTCAAATCGTATTAAGGTCATATAATCTGTTATTTTATGTTGAGGATATCTATCAGATTTCTTCCAATAATCTTGTATTGAAGGTAATTTAAATATTCCAGTATATATTACTATTCCTAACCATATTTTTATTTCAGGTAAATTTAAATCGGTCCATGGTCTTCCAATTCCAGCACCTTTTTCTGATGCATATATATTTGTACTTCTTATAATAACATTCAGAATATCAACAGTAAAAAATAAAGAAAATAATACATAGGGAAAATTTTCAGACAAGGTTTGTATATCATCAGGCAAATTTGTGCTAGAATCATGTAATGGATGTTCATGTTCAAATCTGTTAAAAGTTGGTGGTGGTGGAAGATTGATAATATTTTCGCTTCCCCTTCCTCTTCCCCTACCTCTTCCCCTACCTCTACTTCTATTTCTATTATGGTCATCATTATTGGTATTGTATTCAATGTCATTGTTATCATTAACATCATATTCATTCATTTCATCAATTTCCATATTTTGATTTTCAGAATTAGTAGATGGACTAAGGTGTGTTGAATCAATTGTTTCATTTTCATTTTGTTCTTCATAAATAGTAAAAGGTTTTCTTTGAATATGACATAGATATTTATCATTATTTTCGTTGGTTTCTTCAGACATTTTATTGAAAAATGATCGTGTAAAGATAAATGATTTAAAAGAAATTGTTATTATTTATTTGTTAAAATTTTAATTAATTTAATTGAATACTAATTTAAAGAGCCTGATGAAAAAACTGATGCTCTTTTATATTGTTTCCAATGATAGTTTCGTCTGTCATCTTTGCTTTTGGTAAATTTCGGCCGGATTATTTTTGGTAATTTAGTGATCTACAATGTTTTTTCCCAATAAAATGATCGACACGGCATATGGTAAACTTTTTAAGAAAGTTTTACAAAACCTATATTAATAATAGCTGATTTTTTATATATGGATCGATGTATAAAATCCCAAAAATCATTTGTTAATTATAAAGCATGATGATCAGAAAAGATTTTATATATGAAAAAAAATTAGTGTCCAAATTTGGACGGCAGACAGTTTAAGGGATAACGGAAATTATGCAGAATATAGTGTTTTTTAATGCATGGCATGCATGCGGAATTTGTTTTTAGCACGGACGGAATTAGTGTTTCATCACCGCAGAAAATCATTGTCCCTGCACTTGACCCCCTGTAGATCTGCAATGTCCTGCGACCAGTGTGTTACATTAAAGGTAGCCAATAATCTCTTAGCAGGATTTGTGCAGGAAATTAAATTCGTGTAACAAAATTGAAAAAAAATTTTATTATTACGAACATACTTTTGTTGATGTTTTTTGTATCAATAAAAATAGAACTACATCTAAATAAACAAAACGTACTTTTATTTATTATATTAGATAAATTTTATAGAGATACTAAATTGGTGAATGATGTATTTTGTGAAATTGTTGAAAAAGGAACACTCATAGAAGAGTGGAACTCTCTAAAATTCTATTTGTATACCTATAAAAACACAGAAATGTATTTTATTCAATTGTGGAAACACATTTTGGATACAGATGAAATTTTTTATTTCAATTACCCAAATTTAACAATTATTGTTAAAATAACACTCCTTATACCTTTTTCCAATGCACATGTTGAAAGAATATTTTCACAAACAAATCAGATAAAAACAAATTGAGAAACAGAATGTATCTTGATACATTGAATAATCATTTAACGATTTTACTAAATGGTCCAGATATTCAAGATTTTAATTTTGAAAGAATAAATAAATAGTTCAAAAATTTTTTTGATGTGCGCATTTTTTATGTAAGACGCGCCCGCACATAATTTCACACACTGCCTGCGACTAATAAAATCTATTTTTGACATTAGTTGTGTTTCTCCCATATACTACAATACAATTTCTTAAATAGGAATAAAAACACCGGTCTTGAGGAGATTCTTGCTCCTAGTAAAGAAAAATGAATGAAGGTATTTTTTTCTTATACAGAAAACAACTATCTTAAAAATATGTATATAGTATTTTTACATCATAATTTAATCTTTTGCTTTATAATAAAATAATACTTAGCTAAATTCTATAAAGGTAAATAAATATTTACAACACAAAATAAATATCATCTAATTAAATAATTTGTTTTTTTATTTCATAGGGGGTAAATATTATATTGTAATTTAACTTTTACAATACAAAATAAGCATCATCTAATTAAATAAATTTGTTATTTATTTCATAGAGAGTAAGTATTATATTATAATTTAACTTTCACAACATAAAATAAACATCATCTAATTAAATAATTTGTTTTTCTATTTCATAGAGAGTAAGTATTATATTATAATTTAACTTTTACAACACAAAATAAACATTATTTAATTAAATAATTTGTTTTTCTATCTATTTCTTTATAATGACCAGTTGGTAAGTATTATATTATAATTTAACTTTTAAATACAAAATAAACATCATCTAATTAAATAATTTGTTTTTTTATTTCATAGAATGTAAGTATTATATTATAATTTAACTTTCACAACATAAAATAAACATCATCTAATTAAATAATTTGTTTTTCTATTTC